GAAAACTGTTTATGTAAGCAACAGCTTACTGCTTTCTATGTCTGAGGTCATCCAACACAACTTGCTATGATGCAAAATCTAAATAAATCATATTTAACATGATTAAGTTAAGTCACATAAGTTACTCACTATACATCCTGCAGCCTAATATGGTAGTATAAAACTAGCCGTTGTATCATATGGATAGGTGATTTCCTTAGCAAGACTATAGAAGTAGTTCAGCCTTTCAAGTTAACTAGGTTAACTTTCCTAACTAGGTTAGGAAACAGACTCTGCATGAAATATTAGAATTTGGTTATTATATAATATAATAACAAAATCTGGAAAGCAGATGAAGATTTTCATTCTCCCGTTTTATACTAAAGAGAATCAAGGTAGGGCAACCTTGAAGTTTTTCCTCACCTGTTCCTGGCTAGGTGATGTTTAGATAAGGATTGCTTACTTCCTCTTTCAAGACCTTATATGTTTACCTGTACAGTGATTTCCATCTCCTTCTTCAAAGATGTTTCTACAGCATCCCAGTCTGTAGCCATTTGGAGCCTTTATGTGATGCAATCAACATATCTCACCGAAGGCAATGAAATTCTATTTCAATTTATCCCATTTCATTATTTTATTATTTTTTTTATTTCTTCTGCAGGAATTGAAAGGTACCAAGAAAAGACACAGCCATATTGACATGCAACCTAGGCATCCCTCAGCATTTCTTGTTAAAGGCCAAGCTACCTAGAAATAGACTTCTTCGGAATGATGGTAAACAGAACTAGGATTAACTCTACTCATGGACTTGATGCTTTTGGAGTGTCCCAGTTCCAGGAGGCCATTGGAGTTTTCTTCATGGTTATGCTGAGTGTCGTTGCTTTGGTTGCCAACACAGCAGTTATGGTTGTTATTCTCAAAACACCTCTCCTGAGGAAATTCATCTTTGTCTGCCATCTCTGCCTTGTAGATCTGTTGTCAGCAATTTTCATCATGCCACTGGGGATCATCTCCAGTTCCACATGCTTCAACAGAATTTTGTACAGCATCGCTGAGTGCCAAACACTCATCTTCTTGAATGTTTGTTTCATCAGCGCTTCCATTCTCACCATCTCTGTTATCAGCATTGAACGATACTACTATATCGTTCATCCCATGAGATATGAAGTTAAGATGACGACTGGGCTGGCCATTACTGTTGTGATTTTCATTTGGATTAAGTCTATGCTGGTTGCTGCACTGGCAATAGTAGGCTGGCCCCAAGACAATGGTGCAAGCAGTGCCAGTAAATGTACTGTTAACTGGAGCCCCGGAGCCCACAAGAAGATTTTTGTGATCATCTTCAGCCTTCTCTGCTTCATATTGCCCAGTTTAATTATCTTTGCAGTATATGGTAGCATCTACAAAGTGGCCCGCATTGCATCCTTGCAGCATATTCCTGTCCCATCTTGGACAGCTGCTCCCAGACAAAGGTCAGAGTCCATCCACAGTCAAGTCACCATCATCACTACCAGGAATGTGCCTCCAAGACTGTCTCCTGAACGCTTTTTTGGTGGGAATAAAGCAGCCCTGACCTTGGTGCTGATCGTAGGCCAGTTTTTCTGCTGCTGGCTTCCTTTTTTCTCCTTCCACCTGCACTGCTGCTTCCACTCTGTCCCTACAATCCCTGATTCTGTTGAAATAGTTGTGACCTGGCTCGCTTATTCCTCCTTTGCGATCAACCCTTTCTTCTATGGATTGCTAAACCGTCAAATCAGGGAAGAGCTGGCTAAGATGGGACGACATTGCCTCAGTAAGCCTCTGAACCAGGACTTTTGTATCTCCAGCCCAGAAGGCTCCACTCATGAGAATTTCCTCCAATTTATTCAGAGGACTAGTTGCACATTTGAGAACCATTCCAGCTATACTAATTCCAGCCCCAGGAACACTTTGGACCAAACTGCTTTGGGATTCAGAATCCCAGGACAAATCCCAGAAGAAACCAATTGAAGAAAGAATACCGTGTTGTGTTTTTCTCAATTCCGTATTTCTTCCCTTCTGGCTTTGCATTTATCTTCTTCTACACTGAAAATACTCAACAAGCTTTCCTTATGAGGAGGATTGTCAGCTGAGCAATGGCTTTCTCTTAAGTGTAAATGGAAAGGTACTACATGAGTTGTCAGCATCCTCTCTCTTTCCAGTGGCTTGCAAGGGTGTAAATGATGATTTAGAAGTATCAGTTGTACTAATAAGCAATTGTACTGAACTCACTATGACAGTTGTGTGCAGAGACCTGACACCTTAACAATGCCTGCAAGACTCCAAGAAAATATTATATGTGTGGGAGAGGAGAAAACCCTCCAAAGTGCTTTCCTAAAATACAATAACACCAAAGTGAGCACCAAGAGTGGTCTTTCTTCCTATTCACATAGTGTAATGGACAGATTTAGTTTTGTAGCGCTTGCTTAGTTTGTATACTTAAGGCAAAAGTCACTTTTTCCTTAAGAAAATAATATATGCCCCAATGCTGTAGAACAGAATTGCCCATTCTCCAAAAATATAGGCCAGTGATAGACTGCTTTGACTTCTTTAGTATGACCAAGGGGAGAAGACAAACTTGTGGAAATTATTACGGTCAATGTCACAGATAAAGCAACTATTCTTGCTCTCATGGTTGAAAAGGAAAGATAAAATTGTAATTTCCTGTAATTTGGTGCTGTACAGAGAACATTCAGATCTTGGGGAGAATTCAGAAGAAGAATAAGATAATGTTCTCTGAATCATATTCAGCATATAAGAACTACTTTCTGTTTCCTGTGCAATAATAACTTGGGAAAAGTTCTAATACGGAGGTTTATAATAAAAAGCAGAATTCTTTATACTTGTGATGGTTCTTGAACTTTTCAAACTGCACAAAAGTTCTGTGTCAATTCTATTTTTTCCCATTCAGGGAAAAAAAGTAAAATAAGACAACCTTAAAAAAAGATATAAACTGTTTCATAACTCCAAACTGTCATCCTATATCCTAAATTTTCCACTTCCTCTCCAAATTGCAGGTTAATCTAGAACCTATGAATGAAGAGGGGAGGCAGAAATCTCCATACCACAGAGGAAGATTGAATCCCTTCGATTATCGTGTTGGTTATTTCAAATAGGCAGCTATTAGTACTCTTAGATTTGTATGGGTGACAGGTGGTAACCGCCACTTTCCAAGGTCTTGGGAAGGCAGGGAGGAAAGGAAGGATCATATTGTAGATTTTGGTCCCTCAGTAAGACTCAAAAGAGAGCCAAGAGGCACTAATTCTGAATTTCTTGTATCTTAGTGCATCTGGGAAAATACAGTTAAAATAGACACAAAGTTGGGAGCGTTGAAATGGCTCATAAGAGTAGGTTAAGATGGTGTACTCCTTTGTGCCAAAAGGCATTCCAATGAGTTGGCGTTAATCTGAAAAGAAAGCACCAGGGCTAGCTTTAGGCTAAGAGAGTGCCTCCTTCCCAGTCATTAAAAAAAAAAAAAAATCTTTGCATCAGTATGAATGGTGCCATCACTTAATGAAGCCTAGGGGCATCATATACCCTTGAGCCAGCACTGGAAAATACACCCTTGATTGGTTTGATGTGACATATAAGTAGTCAGATCAAAATGGAGAGTTCTTCAATCAGGGCATTGTTTGGTTCCTGCTCATATATACTGAGTTTTTCAAGGGCATCTGCCTAGGAGTCTGAGAAACCTGCCTAAGATATAGCTCTAGGCCAGGGGTAGGCAACCTTGGCTCTTTTATGACTCATGGACTTCAACTCCCAGAATTCCTGAGCCAGCCATGTTGGCTCAGGAATTCTGGGAGTTGAAGTCCACGAGTCATAAAAGAGCCAAGGTTGCCTACCCCTGCTTTAGGCTGACTACTGGGGTAAAAGGTTTGCCTAAAATAAAAGCTTGCACAGAATATAATACTTTAAAAAATCTTGTCATTATTAACAATGACATGTATCTTAACAATTCTTTGTTAATACAAGCAGAATGTGGAGAGATTTTTCAGCAGTTAGTTCCTTTTGATTTTTCAATCTCTGAGGGAGCTCAGACCCTTTCTATTAGAAGAGTGAGCTGTGCAAAAGCAGACTTTTGAGTATCAAGTTGATGTGAATGTAGAATTGTGACTCCAATGGGAACCCCCAGCCACATCACCAAAACTCATTCAAACTGTGCTGACCTGCTAGAGGAATCCTTTGATGTCTATAGGGATGGCATACTGAGTGGCATGCCAATTGCTCATCATTGATTCAGATCTGGTTCCATGGTGGTCCTTTTCCCACTCATGGAATTAATTTAGATGAGAATAAAAGGAGTAAACAGATTCCCTCCAGTATTTATTGAGTCTAGCATCATTATTAGTAGATTTGAAGCAGCAGGTCAGCAGAGTTGGTGCTGCTCAGAAGCAGTTGGAAAAATATGGAAGGACATCAGATTAGGACTAGGGTTCATTTTGCTAGTCCTTCTGCAATTTCCTTCATCCTTCTTACCCAGCTTGGTGGCCCATTTATAAGCCAAGGAGTGTCTCTTCACTTTCTCTGCCTGACTCAAATACTTCTCTTGGTCACAGAGATGCATAATGGATATAAAGACCTATAGAAGATACAGGTAGCTCTCAACTTACAACCCTGCGTTTAGTGACCGATTTATGACCATTTTTCATACTTGCAACCGTTGCAGCATCCCAATGATTGTGTGATCAAAATTCAGACGCTTTGCAACTGGTTCATATTTATTGAAGTGTCCCGGGGGGGGGGAGGGTCACACAATCCTCTTTTGAGACCTTTTGACAAGCAAAGTCAATGTTGGAAGCCAGATTCACTTAGCAACCGGGTTGCTAACTTAACAACTGCAGCAATTCATTTAACAACTGTGGCAAGAAAGGTTGTAAAATGGGATAAAACTCACTTAACATCTCTCGCTTAGCAACTGAACTTTTGGATTCAATTTTGGTCGTAAGCCGAGGACTATCTATACTAAAAAAAAAGGATACTCTATTTTTTTAAAGATATTGACTCAGTCCTAGACTTAGGATTCTGTCTATACTAGGTCAGACTATCTCCCTTTCTTAGATTTCTCTCTACCGGCAACTCTACTGGCATCTGCTTGTCTAAGAGATCAGATTCTTTTAATCTGGACAGGGCCGGGAATAAACCCAAGCTGTCTTCATATACCGTGGGTGCTCTGTCAGGACCAGTAAGTAGAGTTCGGTCTCCTATTTAATAGTACTGTGATTGCAGTGGTGGCTGCAAAAGAGTTGTAGTTGGGGAAATCCAAGGATCTGAAAAAGGAGCTTTGACAACTTCCATCAAAATAACAAAATGGTTGTAATAGCAGCTGCATGAGTGGTGAAAGATCCTCCGTGTGGGCTTTTAGCGTTGGAAAAGACAGGAAGAAAAGTTATTTCTTTCTTCTCCAAAATCATTCAAGAGTGGACTGGAAACTAGAGAGGACTGCTTCTGCTTTACCTCAATTCAAAACAGAATTGTTTTGGGAAAGGGGGGCATCCACAAAGATAATCTACAAAGGATATGGAAATGGGAAGCTGGGGGCATTATTTTTTTAATCTTCCAAGAGTTGTTCTCTTCTTTTCTTAGTTTTGAACCAGCTTCCAAGTAGAATGTTCAATGAGAAAATCCTTTATATGCCCTTTGAAGGGTACCTGCCAAAAGCATGTGTAACATTCTTCCTTGTAATGTTTAATTACCCGGAAAGGTATTCCCTGTACGTATAGAAACAGCACCTTGGATTTACAGAGACTGAGTAGCAGGTCCCTTGATGGCATCGACAAACTTTATTTCCTCTTTCTGTCCCCTAAGTCTTATTTACCATGCACTAATGTCCTTCTTCCACCCTGCTGTAATTCAAACCTTGAGAAAGGCAGAGTGGAATGGTAATAGAAAGTACATTTATTGGAAATACACATTCCCTCTTACTCCCAGATATTTTAAAAGAAATAAAGCTCAAAATTTATTATTTCTCACTAGTTTCCTTTCTGTGACATAAGGGAGTGTTGGCTGATTCTGAGAATTCTGTAACTACTTTTACTTATGAGCTAAGAACAGTACACATTGTCTTTCAATTCCTGAAGAAACTGTCAGATATGGGTAGCCAGAAGAAGAAACTGAAGGAAAAAGGCTATGTGATAATAAAAACAACCAACAATCTGGTACTTTTAAAAGTGATTTATTTTAGCGTATTTTTTTTTTTTTTTTTTTTTGCAGACTTTCTTTCTTTAAAGCTCTTTTATTGAGAATCCCAGACACAGACACAGCCGGGGACATGAATGAGTCAATTACTGATAACCAAAGATGAACTGCAAAAGTCAGAATCAATAAAAGAAAATATTTGTACCAATAAAAGAGAATATTTGTAGCTTGATATTGAAATGAGGGGTTCTTGGTATTCTCTGAGTTTGGCTGTTTTCTTGCAGACATTTCATTACCCAAACTAAGTAGCATAATCAGTGCTAGTCACTGACTTTTGTCAAGGTAACAGACATTGTGCCAATGTTGTTTATTGCATGGTATCTGTATTTTAATAGTATTTTCCTCATTTATCATGTTTTAATCAGGAATTGTGTCATTTGAATTGCCAACATTGTGGGAGTCCTTCTTCTCTCTGAGCTTAGTTGTTTTCCTGCAGATGTTTCATTATCCATTCAGCACTGATGATTTACTTAGTTGGCTCATGAAGTCTGCAAAAAAACCCCAACCAATCAGAGAGCTTCAAGGGCCCCACAGTTCAACCCTGAGCTACAAATATTTTTATTAGACTGCCATCATGCCCTTCACAGTGGCATCAGTAACTCTCATGGCTGTAATTGTAGCCCTGGTTTACCACCTTATGTAAGAAAGAAATGGTTTGTTTATCTTCTGTTACCACATCATATTTGTGCGTGGCAAGCTGATCTTGGCCATTTCACTTGGAGTCATTTGTAACAGGAGAGCACAACTTCAGGAAAAGTGTTAAATGACTTGCCAGCAACCACTTTCCAAAACCAGTCAGTTGGAGTTAGAATGAAAAGTAAATGTGATTAAATGAATCACTTGTAATTAACAGGAATTAACACATAGTAAATAAGATTATTCTTGATGTAGTTCAGAACTTTTACTCTTTATGGCTTTAGAATTATAATTTGATGACATCTGGGGAGAAAGGATCTTCCTGCTTCTGCTGTTTCTGGGACCTGCATAGGTTATATCCCCCTGATTTATACTGATTCATATAGTGTGGTTCAGTGGTTAAAACAATGGGCTTGTTGGCTGGAAAGCCGGAAGCCGAGGTTTGAGATCTGAGTGCCACATGACGGGATGAGCTCCTGTCCTCACCTCAGCTTCTGTCCAGCTCACAGTTCGAAAGCATGCACATGCAAGTAGATAAATAGGTAGTTTCAGTAGGAAGGTAACAGAGCTCCATGACATCGTGCTGGCCACATGACTGTGGAAATGTCTTCTGACAGTTTGGGCTCAATAGCCTTGAAACGGAGATGGGAACCACCACCTATAGTCAGCAATGACCTGCCAAGTAAAATCTGTAATGATGCCTTTTTTTTTTTAACATTTAGTTGCCTTCTAAATTTTACAGTTCACGAAGCTCTCTTCTCTCCAACAAGATTTCTGTGATGCAGGAATTATGATTTCATCCTTTATGGATCCTTAACTGTATGGAAATAAAATTAATTTCTGCTCCAAGTCAGATACCAAATGAATGGTAGCTAATTCAGGCAGTAATGCATCAGATCAAGTCCCAGGTGTTTTTACAAGTCCTATTCCATAGTGCAGAGAATAGACGATGTATTTGGGTGAATGAATGGGGAATGTCGCTTATTCATTTTTTGCAGAAAATTTGTAGATACAGGTGAGAATGACAGGCATGTTACATATTCTCAATACATGGGGCTGGTCAGCAGGGGTTTCAAGGCTGAAGACTTGTCTCGAACCATTACTATTACTAATATATGACTATCTTATAAATCTTTTCCTTTCCCACACCCAGACCAATGGAGTGCTGCATCAAACTCCCTTACTCTTTCTATGGTAAGTAGCTATTTGAATGCAAGAAACTTTGTTCCTCCTTTTTCTCTTTGGACAATGAATATGTGGTACCACATTATCTTTTCTTGCTGCTCTGAAGGCTTTGACCGGGCTTTCACCGTGTTAGTTTATTTAAGCCGAAAAGCAAAGATATCTAATCAAAGGAAGTCTGGGGAACATTTCCCAAGACTAACATTAATGAAAATTCCCAAGTTAATAATATGTGTGTTTATTTTACAGGATTTCTATGCTGCCCCAATGGCACTGCAGAGCTCTCCTGTCTTTTCACGTGGGAAAGGTGCAGGGAAGCAAGCTGTTCCCACAAAGGTTTCTCTATAGTGCTTCCTCAGGACTTAACCCCATATGATTGCATTTAAAGCAAATCCACATGAAATAATATTTTTGTAATAGAAACAAATATATAGAAGGTTCTATCTCCACTCCCCCAACTACAAAATGTTCATTCCTCGTGCTGAGCTGCAATTAGCTTTAGCTATGATTTGCTTAATAAGCCATAGTGGCTCAATTGACATGTGATGATGATACCCAATTATATCTTTTGACTATGGGCCAGCCAATTTATTTATTTATTTATTTATTAATAAAATTTATATGCCGCCCAATCCCTAGGGAATCAGGGCGGCGCACAAAATTAAAACAATAAATATAATGATAAAACAATAAAATAAGTGCATTCATATAGCGTGTCCAGTCGTATATGAGTTTGGATGGGGAGAAATATATCTCCTCAATCCTACAGAATGGCTGTGGGTGTTTGGGCCACCCAGATCTGAGGATATTCCATTTTAGATCTTGCTTACTTGATGAGGTAGCAATTCGCTGTTCAATTCACAATCTGGGGATATCCTTGGATCTGCAGTTGGTGTTAGCTGTGGCCAGGAAGGTCTTTGCATAACTCCAACTGGTACATCAGCTGCATTCTTTCATACATGGGTCACTCCTCATGCATGCCCTAGTTAACTCACAAGGTTGAAACTCTGGTCTGTGACCCTATTTCAACATTGATTGATCTTACAAGTTGATGACTCCAATGCACTCTATGTGAGGCTGCCTTTGAAGACAACTGGAAGCTTCAAAAGATCCAAAATGTGGCAGCGTTAGCAATAATTGGCATATCTCAATATGCCCATGTAGCATCTCTTCTTCACAAACTGTACTGTTGCTGGTTTGTTTCAGAGTGTGACTGTTACCTATAAAGCCCTACATGGCATACAACCTGGTACAGGTTATGGGCATACGAAATATGGCAGGAGACAAGGAACGGGCCATTCCCAGAGAATACTGGACCAGTGTTTTATATCAGTTTTGCATTCCAGCTCCTTGATCTCAGCCTGGATACCTGGACAGCAGACTTTCAGAAGCCCTGGCTTCCAGCTGCTCTCGAGTCAACCTCCTGGTTGATGGTAGAGACTTATGGTCTTGAGGGATTTCAATCTGCCTTCTCTGTGAGTGGAATCTGAGATGGCTCAGGAATTCATAGCTACTATTATGGCAATGGGCATCATGGGACTATGGTAACACACCAGATTTAGTGTTCCTGCCAGAGCAGTGGCTATGTGTTCTTTGACTGGTGGAGCTTTTAGTGTCCCCCTTGTCATAGTCAGATCATGTCCTGATTACTATGGGATTCTCTGAAGCTGCAATCCACTGTAGGGAGGCTGGATCCATTAGATTGGTCCACCGCTTGCAACTGATGGACTCAGAGGGGTTTCAGGGGATAGCTGGGGATTGTTCCTGTTGCTTTGCTGCATGGTCCTTCTGAAATCATTATTATTACAGGGCTGATTGAGGTATTGGATCTGATCATGCCTATGTGACATCTCCACTCTCACAAATCTTGTCATTCCTCATGATTTATTGATGAGTTGAGGGAAATGAAATGGGATGCCTAGAACAAGACTGGTGTCCAACTAAGGACAAACTCGATTTAGAACATCAGTTAGACTTGCAAGAGGCCTCTCTTCTAGCAGCAAAGGCGTGAAGTGGCAATGCTACTCTGCCCTTATTGTGTCTACAGATTGCTTCATGTGCCTTCTTCTCAAGAAGCAATTGCTGGATCCTGCAGTACTGGACTTTTGCCCAGTAGTCAACCTTCCTTGGTTGTACAATAGCTTCAGAAAACCCTAGATGCATCAGATTATCTGAATCATTTTCTTTCAGATTTCAGACTGGGTATGGAACAAAACTAGCATTAGTTGTACTTTTGGATGTCTCTACATAGGCAAGATGATGGTAGTAGGCCTATTCTTGCCTTACTTGACTTCTCAGCAGCTTTCGATACTATTGACCATGGTATCCTTCTGGATTGATTCAGAGGATTGTGAGAGGGCAATAAACTTGTGCTGGTTCACTTGGGGACAGTTCCAGTTGGTGGTGATTGGGGAGGAGATACCCTTCCCTTGGCCCGTTATGTGAAGTGTCACAGAGGTTATTCTCCCCTCCCTTTTCCCACATCTACATGAGGCCACTGGGTGAACTCATCTTTTGTCATGGGATGAAGTATTGCCAGTATGCTGATGATAAATCAATTGTACATCTTGGTCCCTAATGAATTAAGCGATGCTCTGGATATCCTATCCTGGTGTCTGGGGACTGTGAAGGTCTAGATGGGAAACGACATACATAAAATGAACCCTGGCAAGACTAAATGACTTTGAGTTTTGAGCCCTCTTGTTTAATATCACCAGGACCTGTGGTGGCACAGTGGTTAGAATGCAATATTGCAGGCGGACTCTGCCCACAGCCAGGAGTTTGATCCTAACCGGCTAAAAGGTGACTAAGCCTTCCATACTTCCAAGGTTGGTAAGATGAGGACCTAGTTTGTTGGGGGCAATATGCTGACATTATAAACCTCTCAGACAGTGCTGTAAAGCACTATGGAGCAGTATATAAGTTTAAGTGCTATTGCTGTTGTTATTGCTTTGGTGCTGAATGAGGTTGCCCTTCCCCCAACAGACTGTGTGCAACTTAGAGATCTTTTTAGACTCATGACTCCTGCTCAAGGAACAAGTGGCAGTCATGGCTAGGCAAGCTTTTGAACAACTTCATATTGTGCGCCAGTTGCACCAGTCCTGGATCAAAGGGTCCTACTCAGTCATTTTTGTGCTGGTGACTGCCTGGTTGGACTATTGCAATTCACTTTACGTGAGGCTGTCCTTGAAAAGTTCTTCTGGTGCAAAATGCAGTAATGTGAGCAGTTATATAATATGTAGCACACATTACACCTCTGCAGCAAGAACTATATTGGTTCTTATTTTGCTTCTGGGTCCAATTCAGGATGCTGCTGTTGACCTTTAAAGCCCTAGATCGCATGGGTCCCTCTTATTTGAGGGACAGCCTTACCGCAAATTTCATCCAGGCCTGCCACCAGATCTAACAGAAAGGGCAGCTACATTTGGTGGGTTCTAGGCCACAGGCTTTTTTTTTTTGTTCTGTGACTGCCACATGTGGAATTTTACCCCACTCGTAAAGTTCAGATAGCCTCATTACTTCGAGGCTTCTAAAGATCCTTAAGACTTGGTTATGCTGGCAGGCCTGGGGATATCAAGGGAAAGATAAACGAATGAGTGGAACCTTTACTATTAACATTCCTTCATCTATTAATCTTTTTTAGCTGCTTTTATAGTTTGCTAATGTTTTAAATTTGTGATGCTTTTAGTTTTGTTGTACCCTGCCCAGAGTCACTTCTTGTGAGATGGGAAGCTACACAAATTAGATAAATACTGAAGGGACTACCTGCCTCCCATTATATCTGTCTGGCTGATTCTATCCTATAGGGCAGGTTCCTTTGATTGAACAATGTTATTTATCAGGATCCTGGAAGTATGCTTTCTCCGCAGCAGTGCCTGACCTCTGGAACAAGTTTTCCCTTGAGGCCTGATAAACTCCAGTCCACTGTTGTTTAGAAGAGCTGTGAAGACCTATTTCTTCACCCAGGCCTTTGGCAAGGGAAAATGAGACCCTCGCTTCATTACATTTGCCATCTTCTACCTTTAATGTTCTATTGATTTGATATTTTCCTTGATTCATTGTTGTGAGCTGCCCAGAGTCATTGATAGATGGGCGGCATCCAAGTTTAATACTTTATTATCATTAAAATAAATACATGAAGAAAGAATGACTAGGTTAAGAGAAAGGGGAAGATGGAAAAGGTTGTGGTTATATAGAGTTGTAGAGTTCCTGAAAAAGAGAGAGATGAGAAGTTTAAAGAACAAAATGCAATGCATGAAGCAGTTGTTTCCTTAAACTTTTTTTTGCATACCACATTAAGTGGCTAGCTTTGAAAGGGACTAAAATGTTGGATATGTATGTCTACATAATGTTCCCCTTTCCTTCCACTAAAGAAGTCACTGTTGCTGAGGTCCTGCTGCTACTGAGAGTGAGAATGTTGCCATACTGAATTCTTTTAATGGAGTTAAAGGGAAAGGTGGCTTGGGATCAATGACAATCTGTGCAGGGCTGTAGGACATCCATTCTATTCTTTTCCATACAGAGAATTGGATCTGCAACCAGATGTATATTCTCAGCTTATGTGTTCTGGCACTTTGCATGGACTAAAAGCACATCTGTGCTGCAAATATTTGAATGATCTCCGAGTAGCAGCGAAGAATTAGAATATCCTATATCCTTTCAATACTCTCTAATGGCCAACATTTTGCTTAAAAGCTGCCCATCTCGGTACTAAGCAGACAAAAAAAAAAAAAATCAAAACCCCACCATAGATTCCTCTATTGTGTTGCTGTAAAAATAAATTAGGAAAATCTTTATGTTCATCAGTCAAGGTCCACAATCACAAAATAGAGCCATTCATTGTAGCTGCAATTTATAGTATATGGCTTAAGATGTCTCAACAATAATGATTTACTTAACAACATATTCATGGTGTAGCATGCTATGTGCACAAGGTCATAGAGTCCAGATTTGTGGAAAGCCCTGTAACACAACAGAAGGTTAATCTTGATCTTTAAAGCTTATCTAGAAATACTTGATCTTATAATTTGTATGATTCATGAGCTTGAGCCTCTGATTTATTGTACCACGAATCCCAACATAACTAAGGTGGTGCTGGTTATTCTGAATTGATTACAACATGTTCTAGAGATGCATCTTTGCCCTTTGCAGGTCTTCTGTGAACATAGTATTGGTGACAAATGGCACTTTAATCAACAATATTTTCTCCGGCATTCAAGACAAGAAAAGTTTCACCTGCTGATTTTCTGGCTGTCAAAGGGCAGGAGTCCAGCTGCCAGGGAAAAGAAAAAGCGAACAATGCTAGCCTTCACTGTGCTCTTAGATAAAACATTACAACATCTGCTCTTTTTCCCCTTTTATTAATCATTCCAGTGGCCAGTTAATACTTTCTGGGTTTTGCCTGACTCAAATGTACAACAATTAATTCTGAGTTGATGAAGTTTATATTTTTATTAAATCAATGATAAGTTACAAAGAAGGAAAATATAGAATTATATGTACAGCATTTCCAAAGTTAAGCCAAAGGGGATTATGGGGTAGGAGGGAAATTCCTCAGAGCCGCAAGAAAAGATGAGAGCTTTTTGCCAGGAAGTGATAGAGGGAAATTAAAGAGATTTGTACCAGCCAGGGTACAATGCCAAATGGACAACTGGTTGGATTGATTTATAAGAATACCCCCACCCCACTCCTTTTTGTTTTTTGCTTCAATCCTTTCCTTTCTTGTGAAATCAAACTACTGGGATGCATATTGATTTATACCATCTGAGAATTTTATCTCCTTAGCTCAGTAAACCTACAGCATTTCTTTGTTGATGGCAATCCTTTAACCACCATACAGTCAATGACTACACATGCATGGTGGCTTTCTATACTATCCAAAATGTATTATTAGCAATGCTGGGGCTATGAAATAATCTTGTCAGCAAACAGTTGCCACTACCTTTCAAAGCTCCACATCTGCATATATCCTTAAACCCAATGAAACTTTTTTTCCAGACACCTTTGGCATCGTACCCAATTGCGTGAGCTCAACATAATCAGGGCTGTGTGAAACCTGTGATTCCTGGAGGAATCCAGCAAAAAACACAAGATGTGCTGCTTGGGAACTAGCATTTATTTAGAAAGGGGCAGGTTGATTTTCTTGCTTCTCCCATGAATTGTAAATCTGGTACAATGCAAACAAACAAACATTCCTCTCCCAAAATTACCATGCACAAAGGAGATATGTATGCGTAGTTGCATATTCTATACAGGTCAGGTATGAACTTTTTATGGCACAGGATGTGGTTGCGTGCATGCATAATTTTAAACATTTTGGTTTTGTTTTTTTTTTAACTTGAATGCAGACACTACACACAGCCCTGGGCTAACCCTTTACTACTGAGTCAGTTGGTTCCACAGGAGAGGCAGAGCAAAAGGCAAGTTCAGTTTCTTTTCTAGCCTGATTCACTGAACAAGCACATTCCATCCAATGCCTTATAAAGATAACAGTTTGCTATTAACCTTGTAGTATTTTAATAAATACAACATGCCAACTTGAGTCAGCAATCTGAATCACTTTGGAGAAACTATACTGTTTGTAACCAGTTAGGAACTTGGTTGTAAAATCCTAGGCTGCATGGTATATTAACTGTACATTGCAAATCTGTAACTATTTACTCAGGACAAAGCTACGCTGAATTCCTGCTAGACAGGACCTCAATTCATTGAGATAATTACCAAATGTAGCAATGTGATTGGATAACTCTGGGATGACACTTTATTTTAGACAGAAGGGTCAGGATCAATTACAATTCCTGTCTCTTCGCTCACATGAATCTATTTGCATTGACAAATGCCCTCCCAATAGCAATAGATAAGAAGAAATGGGGATAATAGGGACTCTTTTTGGAGCATGTACTCATTCCTTAAGGCTGTATGAAAAAGGTCCCACATGTAATCCCTGTCATCTCCAGGTAAAGCTATGAAACTCTGTCAGATACCTTGGAGAGCCACTATCAGCTAGCAGATAACATAGAACCAGAAAGGGCTGGTAGTTGGACTTGCTATTAGGTGGCAGTTTCCTATGCTTACAGTGAGTAAACAGGTTTTTTTTTAAATTACTGAGTAAGCCTGCTTAGAGCTGAACTATAAGGGACTGCACAGTATTAGTAAGCATTCATTGGAGAAAACATCCCATGAGAATAAGATAAATTCAAAGATGCATTCATGGCATGATAGCTATTATATGACCTGCTAAGAAGAGATTTCCTGAGGTATCTGCCTTAAAAAAGACCATGGAGTAGGTGTCTTCCATTGAGACTAAGTAGAATAGGCAGCCAGTGCTGGAGAGTCAAATTTAGTAATATACTACACTATCTGATTAGCCTTTGCCCAGATTTTTAGCAGGGAAGCCAAATATATGCCAATGGTTGCTATGCAACCCCCTGTCAATAAGACAGGGCCTCTGGTAAAACTTATCCCTTTCCATCTCTTTTTATTCTACCCAGCTTTTAGGGGGAAGCAAAAATTCAGAACCCTGTGTGTTTGTCAAAACAGCCATGATTTTTTTTTTTAAAAAAAAATTCAGATTCTTATATAGTTAGAATGAGATACATAAGCAGCTTCATATCAAGAGAGAAATATTTAGAACAGAGAACCAAAAAGTTTGCTTCTTGGTATGTTCCCCCCCATATTTAAATCCTATATGCCTTCTTCTTCTTTATCAGTTAGATTTTTTTTCCAGTTTTTTTCCCTGAAAACTACCATCCATGAGATATAGCAGTGGCACAGCATATACTCTATCATTACCATTGGTCAAATAAGTCTCATCTACTCCCACAATTGCGATAAGACCTCTCCCAAGACCTCCAGTGCCTTCAATTTGGAATAGAGAATTTGTGTATGATTCAATTTTTCTCTAAGTCAACTGGTAGATTTCCTAACAACCCAACAGGAAATCAGATGGTGAGAGAACATTTTGAGTGTGGAGCGGTAATTGTTCAATGGAGGTGAAACCTTAAGTTTAGATGGTCTTAACCACTACAGGCTTCTCAGCTAGGATCAAGTAGGAATTATGGAGAAGAACCAGTTCTGTCTTGAGGTTATATTCTCTCTCATCTCCTTATTTTCCAATACAATTGATTAGCCTCTCACATCATACTTAGTCTTCCCCCATGTAATCTCATTTTGGAGTGGCCTGATGTTGATGCCATCTCATGAAGCCTGGGAGGGTCCCCCAAATTTTCCCCTCCCTACCCCGCAGCCCACCTTCCTGCTTCAGTATGGGGAGAACTTCTGTCTCTCACCCTTCTTGCTTGCATTGGCTGTGGAGATCTTGGTCGTGTAGGTGGCAAGGTTGCCATTGTGCCCCGTGGCTGAGGAAGGGGGCAGTGTCAAGAAGGGAATGGGTTTCAAGCCGATGAAGTTGGAGAGGGAGATGGCATAGGGGGGACCAAGCAAGGCTGGGGGAGGTGCGGCCACTGCTGTCAGCGCTGGGGCTGGCGAAGGGGTGAGGGGCTGGGAGAAAGTCATGCCGAGGTCAACGGGGGGCGTCTGGGAGGTAGATTTGGCCGTCTCTAAACTGAAGAACAAGAAGGGAGAAAGAATGAGACCTGTGCATGCATGCCCATTTACATATAAAAATGCAGACATCTGTGGACATATACTTGGAAGTATATGTACTAATGTGTGCTGGAACAAGCTTGCACACAGCATAATATGCATAGGTATGGGTTAATATGTATAGTTTGCTTAATACATATATAACAGTATGGTTATGGATATGGATATGCATTCACAGAAAGACGTGTTTTTACTGGCATGCATAATGACATGTGCAACAGAATAGGTACACACACAGACTGGAAATAGTGAACAAGGTGCTCTGAAGCATTTCAGCATCCGGATAAGATCTTTTTCCCCAGAATCCCCCAGACTAGGATCATACATTTATGGTAAGGAATCTTTACTGTCATAAGAGGAGCCTATATCCTTGATCAGTGTTCAGAGCTGGTTATGTCAAGGGAAGTTATACTGTATCTTTTAGCAACTCCTGTTTATATAATCAAAGCATTCCAAGATATTTTAGGCACTTATGTGTCTTGGGCCCATGACCAATGGCTTGAATCAATATCTAAATTTCACATCCTGAAACCAGTTTATCTGTCCAGGATGAAAGTAGTGAGGATAAAATTTAGCTTACTTTGGTTCTGAATATGTAAATATATTAAAATATAAAATAAGTGCCAGAGTGAATTCCACAAGAAAACTGATTGTATAAACAGGAAAGTGCTCCTTCAATAAGCAGGCCACGTCTTACCAGCCTGTACACTACTTGCCATAATGCACAAAAAGAGAGCGACAGTTATTTCCTGCTCCAAATCCTAAAGCATCTCAAGTGCCAGATTGTCATACGCCATGGCAAATATCCTTTCATATATTCCGCTCAAGTTATTTTGTGGATAAAAGGCAGTTATTCCACACTGAAAACAAGAGTCCTTTCTGAGCAGAACTGAAGGCTGCCATCGGTGCTCGTAGCTGAAAGGGGAATTTCAGGGGAAGGCAAAGACAACTGCCCAAAATACTGTAGCTAATGGTAGTAGTCTCAGGTTGGCTCATGAGAAACTCAAAAGATTGGAGGCTGTCATCCAGGCTGGAGAGACAGTGTGCAAAACTATTGACACTCATGAGATTGCTGCAGGATGTTACATTTTAACATTCCTGTTTACTAAATAAAAGGCAGAAAGGTGGCAAACTAACAATTCACCCACCATAGCCAAGGGTCGCCATTTGGTTCCTACAAAGCTATCCATCTAAAAGTCCCAGGGCTTAGACACAGGAGGAAGAAGCTGCAGCAATACCTGTGTATATTTGTGAAAATGAGGTTTCCTCCCTGCCTCATCTCCCCCAGAGGCTGTATTGGCTCTTACCAGGCTGTGATGAGGTACTGAGCCAAAGTGATGCTGACAGGTGTCCCTGTGATGGTCACATGACGTTCGGAAGAACCCTCTGTCTGGTTCCCGATCTTGATGTGTGCTCCAGACATTTGCCGAATCTCACTGATCTTGCTCCCCTGGCGGCCAATGATGCAGCCAATGAGCTAAGGAGGAAAAAGAAGAATTGTCTTTCGGAGGGAAGGAATTTCATCCCCCAAGAAAACAGCTGAACTAAGGTGCATGGAAAATACTGAATCATTAAGTGATGTATTTCTTGCAGTGAAAAACAGTGCCTTACTTACAGTAGTATTTACTTTGGGAACAGAAATTGCCAAGATTCAAATAAATAGAGAAATTATTATAATATAATACAGGGGTCTTCAAACTCGGCCCTTTTATGACTCCTGGATTTCAACTCCCAGAATTCCTCAGCCAGCATGTCTGGCTGAGGAATTCTGGGAGTTGAAGTCCATGAGTCATAAAAGGGCCGAGTTTGAAGACCTCTGATAATATAATAAATATAATATATAATATATAATATAATATAATATAACATAACATAACATAATATAATATATGGAATTGATAGGCCATCCCAATCTGTCACAACTTGGATGATTTAAAAGTATGGCACTAAAATCAAAGAAATACCTTGCCAAAAAGAAAAGTAACTTTCAGAAACAAATATTCACAGATCAAAACAGCATAAAGGGATCTATCATCCAATCTAGCCAGAGGCCTAAGGATAGAGTCAGGTTTTATGGGCTTGTTTAAATAAGGCTAGGTTGAAGCTGTATAAATCTGGCAGGAAACTGTGTTCCAGAGAGTAGCTGCATGACAGGAGGTGCAAACATCCATTACTATTCAGTCTTATCAGAGTTGAGACTAAGCTCATCCTTTCTAAGCCAGGAATATACAACTTCTACATACTGGAATTAGACATTGACTATATCATTTGGCTAGCCCCAGGCCAAGATGCATAATTTGAGCCCAAATTGACAGATCACCTCATCCAGGGGCCTCATGTAGATAGTAAACAGGAGAGGTGAGAATACCAAATCTTAAGAGGGGATTCAATCTCTCCCTCTTTTGTCAACGCTGACTGAACCCAATCATAGAGAAAGGAAAACCATCACAGGAACACTTTATCTTCACTTCCTACTCCCTGCAGGCAATCCTTAAAAATACCATGATTGATGGTATCAAAAGCTGCCAAGAGATTAAGAAGAAACCGGATGATTACAGCACCTTTCTCCTGACTACACCAAAGTTATCAACAAATTCCAATATCATCCTGATATTATGCCCTGGTCTGAAACCAGAATGAAGTAAGTCCAGACAATCTGAATCTTTCAGGGACCTCTGAAGCTGTAACCTAGCCACATACTGGATGAAAATTGCCTAGGACAGTTGGGTCCAGTGAAGGCTTTTTGAGGAGAGGACACTATATTCAAGGCAGGAGGTGCCACCATTCCCTCAAAGAAACACACCACACTTAACAACGGCACACCTCTGAATGGCCTACACCAGCCAAGAGGCACATGGATCTAATACAGAAGTGGCCAGGATCATCAGCCTAGGGACACTGTCCTTTTCTGAGATTCAAACTCAGATGTTACTGAAGGACAGGATCAATCCTGTTTGTAGCTGTGTGGGGCCCCAGGATTGTGCTGTTTAAGCTCTCTAGCTACAAACATTTATTGGACTGAACCACATTCTATTAGACAAGAGAGAGACTGAACGGGAAAGGAAAAAAATAATTAAGTCATGTAGTTCAGGTTTCTACCAGACTGTGGCAGGAACTGACCTGCAATAATAAAACAGTGCAGCTTGTTTTGTAAGACTTTTTCTTTTAACAAAAAATTCCAGCATTTCTTTTTTCTTGTGCATGTAAAATCGGGGCGCTGTGTAAAGGTCAAATGTTGCTTACTACCCACATGCTTCCTGACTTGGAATAAAGTCTTCAGTTTCCCCAACAGAACAGCCTTGCAGCTGGGTTGGCTGTGTGGGTGAGCAACTGGCACATTCCTCTTTTAGCTTGATATTATGGCTTTTGCTCCCAGAGAGGAGTGAGTGTGAAGCTTCTGAAGTTGTTGGAAAGTGGGTTTAACATACCTCTTTCCCACCCCTGTTGTTCCTCTCTCTTAGGACTTTCCAGTGTGATTACTGTGCTTTGTCCACTACTGCTAGTCCGGTGAGGTAGGCCAGGTCAGGAAACGGGCCCCACAAGGATTCCAGGAATGCTACTTTACTGGGTAGGGTGTAATAACAGAATCACGAAAGCCTGCAAGCCTTTCTCTCGCTCTACCCCCCCCCCCTTACACTAAACAGAATCAAGACAGGACTATTTTGAGATTCTTTCTCACTTTCTCAGGACTGAGTTGCTGTTTCACTTCCGTTAGCAGTTATTCCCTTCCAAAGTCATCTCTACATTCCTTTATAACTACAATGACATCTGAACCTTGTGACAGAAGGAAAGAGCCAAATACTTATCAAATTCAAATAACTGTTGATGCCAACAATCTTTATTTCCTTTCATATCTGAAGATTCAATTATTTCCAGAGAATCCCTTCATGGTACAACTAGGCTGCCATGAAAGAAACAGCAGCACAGTTTGTATTAAAACTCAAATTATGGTTTTGAACCCTCCTCCCTGGGATTGCCCCCTCGGTATAGACTGCATTATTTTTTTTAAACCTTTGTCTTAGCTATGGTGATGAAGTTTGGACTTTTAAGCATTACTAAGGTTAGAAATTGGTTTTCCACCTGCTTCTTTTTCTTAGCAGTTATAAATAACACTGTATTCTTTCTGCTTAACCTGGGACAGAGGCAGCACAGGTCACTCAAGTTCATTCTTTGTCAGATTCCAGATGAAGGAATGCCCTACTTGTAGTCTTGTTAGACCTCCTACAGGCCTTTGAGATCAAAGTATCCTTCCAGACTGTTTGTGAGGGTTGAGGTTCAGGAGCACCATTTCACAGTGGTTCCATTTGGCGGTTCTAGTGAAGACTTAGCCCAATGGCTACTCTCCTGTGGGATACCATAGGGCTTGTTTTCCTTCCCTTCTCCCTCTCCCCCCCCCTTTTTGTTTTGTTTTTGATATCCACATGAAAGTCTTCTTTGTATTACTAGCTATGCTATGCTAGAGATGGTTTGTCCTGGTATCTGAAGACTATCAGAGTCTGGAGGGGATAGAGCAGGCTAGACCTGAATCCAAGCAAGATAGAGCTGTTTGTGCATCAGACTTTCCGTGTTTTCTCCTTGATAGGAAATACTAATCCTGTATGAATAGGCTGTAACCTGGGGATCCTTCTGGATTCTCATCATACGGTGAGTGAGCTGGTTGAGATTGTGACTGGGGGAGTTTTCACCAACTTTGACTGACATGCTATTTGTAACCCTATCTGAAACAGGATTTTGCCACAAGAACTAATACTGTTGACACCGCTCATCAAGACACCTATAATGCACCCTACATGGGTTTGTCCTTGAATTTATCTTCTTTACCACCCAGAAACTGCAACTGGTAAAAAAAAAAAAAATATGCAGTATTGTGGTCCAGTGGTTCTCAACCTTTTCTTCACCACGGATCCCCTTTAAATACTTTTTGTGCCCACAGACCATGGCCATGGACCATCAAGACTTATCTCAAGATTTAAATCATAATATTTCTTCAAGCCTTTGAGCACCCATGTGGCAACATGGACCCCAGGCTGAGAATCAATGCTGTAATCCATTTGCCAATAAGTATTCTATGTTGAGAGCATATTATCACTGAAGTCTGGGTTGTGCATTGCCTCTTAACAACCCTGGACAAAACTAATTTCTTAAAATAGGTATATTAAAGTTTTAAGAGGCTTGACAACCCATTTTATCTTAAAACAAGCAAGCCACACAATGCCATTTTTTTTTAAAAAAAAAGATCTTGAATTTTCAAGTCTTCTGAATTTTAATGAAATTACTGTATCTTGCTACATTTTTTGCAAGCCATGAAAGCTAAAAAATAATTACAATTAAAAGCTGAATTGTCTGGAATAAAAAGTTGCCTGTGCTTGTTGTAGAAGGCTAGCATATTAATTCTATTTTAAAAAATTGTTTGCTACCTAACTATATTCCCCAAAGACCATAGTTCTGTGGCAGAACACAAGGTTCTCAAGAAGACAATTCCTAAATAATTAACTGGCTACTCTAGTTCAAAATAAGTGTGTAACAGATGAAGTTAAAACCCTTTCTCTATCCAAGACTCCACAGATCTGCGGTCCATCTGAATAAACAATATTAGTCCAGTTGAAAAAAATTGCTGGACCCAGAATAAGGCAGCTTTCTCATCTGCAACAATAAAAGAATTTGAATTTCTTATTCTTGCCTGGCAAAACATGGCGCTTTATTGGAAAAAGATTTGTCTGGGGAATAGATTTCTGCTTTTATTGGAATGGAGTCCCTCTCTACAGACCTTGGTGAACAGGAGCAGAGGAAAAGAATGAAAAAGGGTCTGGATTTATGCCCAATGAGCTTTTATACTGATGTGAAATGGGAGGAACGGAAGTGGGTACAATTACAACAGTGCAAACAAAAGACCCAACCAACCACAGCATTAACCCAGCAGAGTAGGCAGCTCACATCAAAGTCTGACTTACATCATTGGGAACTAGAAACTCCTGAGAGCTATTCTGAGAATTTGCATCCAGGCCTACAGAGAAAAGAGAGAAAGAAGACACAGAATTACTGGGGCCCTTTTGCTACCCCCTGGTTACTCCTTGAATGGGTATTTCATAATCCTGCCTTCCCTAGAATAAGCTAGAACTGAAATGTTAGCATCTTAAAGATCCTTTCTATGCACCATAGTTACAAAGAACAGGGAGGACACAAAAAGGATTGGACAGCTTCCCAGCTCTTGCTAAGCAATCAGCAGATCCAAGAGGGGGCTTTTGTTTTATGCCATTTCACTTAGGTCACATTACACAGGACTAATTTTAGATAGTCCCGGTGGAATTCCAGCCTATCCCAGCCTCTTCCTGTGTGATGCAGACCCCATTGGCTACAGATACTCTTTTATCAAAATAAGAAACAATCCTCGTCCTTACTCAGATGGCAAGAGTTTTGGTTCAACTGCGTGGATTTGCTGCATTTTTATAGAGGCTACTTGGAAAAGCCAAGTTCAATCAATGAATAAACAAAACCCCCAATGAAGGCTTCTTATTGTTATGCATTGTTTATCTGAGCTCCTTCCATTAGGAGAGATTACAATTTTGGACTTGTAACTTCATCCAGAGATTCAGCTCCTAATTATTCTTGGAATAACTGAATCCATCAATTCAATGTTGATGCTGAGCAACCACACACAGACCTTCTCCAGGATGATCCCTCTCTGACCTAGACTTTCAACTCTTATAACAGTGCCTGCTCCTATTGCTTCTGTAACTGAGTCCGTACACCCGGTTGTCTTCTTCTGTTTCTTTTCATTTTTTCCCCAACTTACAGACTTCTCAAGAGAGCTCCAGATATGTCTAAAATATGATTATGTGAGCCTGACCATTTGTTTCTTTAATAAGAACCATAGCTTGGTTTGTTCTAGGATCCATGATTGGCTTTTTTGACTACCCAATGTCACTGTCTTAAAATACCAATACTCTTTCTATCCTGCTTCTTCAAACTCCAACTTTCATTTCCATAAAGTGTCACAGGAAAGACCACTGAGCAATGAAATCATTTGCATTTTCAGCTATTCGAGTAGTGAAGTGTCACCAGCATAGCTAAGGCTATTGATGTTTCTTCCTCCAATTTTAAAACCACACTCATCTTTTTTCCAATCTAGTTTCCCTGAATACATATTCAGGATGTAGATTAAAAAAACATAAATAAGGGGAAAGCCTTGTCTCACTTCTTTGCCATGTGGAACTAGTCTATTTTGCTATGTTTGTGTGGATGGTGGCTTCCTGTGCTATGCATAGGTTTTACATTAGGACAAAAATCAAAGGATATTGTGTAAGCTGTTGCTTTGTTCTTTGCGTAATGGCTTTTCTGTGATGAGAACAAAGATACTAAAACTATTTCCAGCAATATCAGATCCAGCCAGAATGATACATGCCTTACTTGGATTCCTGCAATGTGCTCAGTATGGGATTGCCTTTGAAAATTGCTTGAAATCATCTGCTGGTTCTGAGTGTTGCCACAAAGCTGCTTTTCAAGATTTGCTAATCTATATCCAGGCAAAGTTTCAGTAGCGCCCGAGATATTCAAAGGCCTAAGCAATTCAAAATCATTTACTCCTTCATCTCTCTCTCTCTCTCTCTCTCTCTCTCTCTCTCTCTCTCTCTCTCTCTCTCTCTCTCTCTCTCTCTCTCTCTCTCTCTCTGTCTCTCTCTCTCTGTGTGTGTGTGTGTGTGTGTCTATGTTTCTATTTAGAGAAAGAAAACGGGAGACATTGAGAAAGAGTGTATGCTGGGCCTCTTGAGCTGATTTCTTTTGTTCCGCTCCTCTGCATTTTAATTTGAAGATGGCTATAATGATGGATATATTGAAAATAAAGAATTAATAAAAACAAAAATACTCTTGGCTACTTAAGATGAATTTGCAAAATATTCTTCTTTAACAGGGGGACTGACTGATACTGCTGTATAACCTATTTTTAACATCTAGATTTAAACAATGCTAAACTGTAATCTGGCTTCTATGGTTTTGTGAGTGCAATAATCCTGTTTTGTGAGTGCAATAACTGTTGTCTGTAAGCTACAGGTTCTGCTTTAGTTATGTATGAACCCAGTGTACTGCAGTTTATTCAATACACCATGACTTATTATGAATCAGAATTCTAGTCACTGCTTAGGAAATAGCCACCGATTGTTCTAGAAGATGAGAACCACTTTGGAAATTGGACTCACAGCTTCCTCCCCCCACTCTCTGGCCATATTTCTTTCCTGTCCTGCTGTAGATGATGTAATCCAGATGTCTATATTTTGCACAATCAATTACAGTTTTTCAAGCAGACTGAGAATGACCCAAGTGTGCTCTGTAAGCATCTTAATAAGTGGGTGACTGTCCAAAGGATTATGGATAGAAATTAAGGTGTACATTAAAGAATCAACTATCATTACTTCAATAGAGCTACCTTACCAATTGTGCACTTTTACTGACATATTTCCTATTTATGTCTCTGATTCAAGTTTCCCCAATAATTATTTTAAATTATCCCTTAGGTTGCTTTCTTTTTCGGTAAAAGATAGCCTTCCTGACCTGGCATCTTCCGTGAATGCTGGACCAAAACTTCCATAATATTCATCCAGCCACACTCTACCTTTGCTAACTTGGGATAATGCTCGCACTTAGAGGCTGTCAGGTTGAGGCAGGCTGCTATAAAATTAGAGGCTATAAACATAGGTGTCTTGACAGAGGGTCTCAAAATGCTCTCCACAATTCTTTTGCTTTCTTCTTTTAGTATTTATATCCCAAATAAATCCTTAACAATTCACTAGATTTCATATCACTTACCAATACCAATATCATATCTTTTAGCAATCCTCTGCCTGATCTGTAAAAATCATTTTAATGCAGATTCATTTTTATGCCTATTTTATGCAATTCACAGGTATCACACGAAAGAATGATAGGTTTATCTGTAACTCTAATACAAATACTGTTTACATTTCAATAAAAGTCACATATTTTTCTTTGGAATGTAATGTGTTATTTATTCAAGTTATATTGTTCTAATTGACATTTCTTGGTGAAAAATTACTACTCATTAGGGTTATTTATAAATATGTTTCTGCCTCCTCTCTGCAAAAAGAAGTATACTCGCAAAATCTTTACACTGTAATTAAAGATCTGAGATTATCAGAAATTATATAGCCTTATCTAATCTCAGGGCAGATAGTGATGCAGAGGATTCTGGGATTAGTCATCTTACAGAACTCTTACACACAACTCTCTTACCTGCAACTATAGATGGAGTTTGTGCCAAGGATGAAAATGAGACAGGGTGTCCCGAAAGCTGCTGCAACTTTGTCACCTGAACAACAGGAAAAAAACAAAATCAGATAACCCTTAAATATAAATAACTGTCAATTCTACATTAGTGGTTCTTGACAGTATCTTGGAGGGTCTCTCCAAGCTCAAGATTTTCTCGTGGCTGGAAAAACTGGTTCCAAAAGGAACCAACGAAACTGTATCGGCCACTGTGTTTGTATTACTATTTCAAATAAGTCTGGGATTGTAAGCTTCATAAAGATATCTTTTAAGAAGCAATATTGAGCTATCCATCTCACAACAACAGGGGCTTTTTTTCACTGTGGTTCATGCCAATTTTAAATTAGGCTTCGGCTGTAGCCGTGGGATCGTCTCCATCCACTTAAACAGAGTTACCACTAAGGATACAGAGATGGGCTTTCCTGAAGGCCAAGATTCATTGAGTGGTTAAAATTAAGTCATTCTAAATGCTTTTGCCTGTTTTTGTAAATTCTGCCACAGTCCTTAACAACTGACCTCAATAAAAGGCCCCCAAGATTGATCTGTGATCTCCAGATACTGTGGGGGGGGGGGGCTAATATGCTTGAAGCACCTGGTTGGAAAGATTCTTCCATAATATTTTCAAGAAAAGACGCATAGGATGGATCAAGTCCAGAGACCAACAACAAGATGTGAGGACAACAGAGGAGAAAACCTGGAGTTTAAATACAGATTGCAAGTTGGACTTACCTCAGCTTGAGATATTCCACTATATTGTCCTTGCATGGAAAATCCCTACAAAAGGGGGAAACAAATACAAAGAAGAAAGGTATTCTGAAAATATATTAGAGCTTCCTTGTAAACTTCATTTATTGAAAGGTCTTAAAGTAAGAAAAAAAATCACAGAGAAAAGCAGGGGGGAAAAGTGGCAGGTGCAGTTGCAGCAAGGGGGAAAGAAAGCCACAACAGCAACAAAGCAAAAGTAGATATCCTGGAAACTTAAAGAACTGGACAACATTGTAAAAATATTAAGGCCTTTTGGATCATGATTTGGTGGAACATTCAAAATATTTTCAAAAGGAAGATAAAGTTTACTCCTCAACTATTTTTATTAGGGATTTTTGAGGATTTTGATGTCAAAGATACTGTTTTAATGTTGAATTTAATTACAGCAGCAAGGTTATTGATAGGTCAATATTGGAAGAAGGATTCGTTGCCTACATTAGAAGAATGGACATTTAAGGTTTCTAACTTAGCAGAAATGGCTAAAATTTCTGCTTATTTAAAGGATCATACACAAGAAAGATATATTATGGTATGGAGAAGATGGATAGATTATATTAAGATTAAATATGGAACTGAAAAGTTCCATTTATTTTATGATTAAATAATAAGTATTATTAATAATATTTAAATTAATTTTTTATTATATAACAATTGATTATAAACTGATTTGTTTATGATATTAAGGTTTAAAGGGAATTAAGGTTTAAGTATGATTTTAATTGTTGTATAAATTGTTAAATTTGTTTAGCTTATGATTAATATATTTGTTAATTTAATTAGATTATGTTTAATATGTTTGAAATACCCTGTATTTGGCTCTGGGAAGTCGGGGGGTGGGGGTTGGGTAAATGGGTTTATTTTGTAACTTTCAATAAAACTTTTTAAATAATTAAAAAAAAATAAGAACTGGACAACATTTCTCATTTGATTTTAAAAAGGTACTTCAGCGTTCAAGCAAGCATTGCACCTGTCTGCCATTCGTTAAAGCAGAGCTGCCCTCTAATGCTAGGTAGAGACTCAGCCTTTCTCCCTCCTAGAGAAAGACTTAGCTGTTTTAAATGGTTGCAGGCAGGTGTGCATTTAAACCACTAAAATGCCTTTTTGGAACAAAATCCAAAGCACTGCACAGCCCTAGAAACTAATAAGCTCAATGATCTTTCAGTTGTAAACATTATAAAAAACAAAAGACTCAGGAGCCATAGAAATTCTATCAGAAGTTTTACAATCATGCAAAAACATGTGTGTAGTTTAGTCTCTTGATCACATAAGATTCAGCATACCAGTACCAAAAATACATTTTGTAAAGAGTAGCCAAAACAAATGTTCTTTTCCAAGCTTGATTGAATGGCCTGAGCAATAGAACAAGTCTTTTCATTTACAAACAAAAAACAAAAAACCCTGGCCATTTCCATATCTAATGTATTAAGTTTTTAGTTTGTGCAATTCACACAATATTCTACCCTTATGACCTATTTTATCTGAGCTGAAATGTAAATGGGATGCTCTGAATTCAGAAGAATTAAATACATATTATTTTAAAATGGGCCACCCACACCATTACACCTTTACAAGGTGTAATGGTGACTGTTACCAAGAAAAGTTTAATATATGTCAGTCTTTTGCCACTGGGTGAGACTAAGTCACCCTCATTCATTTTACTAAGAGCATTTATATGCAGTCGTAATTTGATTTATTCAGTCATTCAGAATTTTTTTGCATTAACTTGTACATCTTTGGCCATCTAGTAAATGTATTTTAATTTTTAAACAGTAGTTAATGCTTCTCAGTTTTACTACAGTATAAAAAACAGATTAAAGTTAATACTGTGCACATTATGATCATCGGTGGAGAACATGTAAGTAAGAAAAACAAAACAATAATGGGATTTTGTTCAAAATTATAGTGAATTCTCACTGAAATCCCTATAAATCAGTGATTCTCAACCTGTGGGTCGGGACCCCATTTGGGGTCGAACGGTCATTTCACGGGGGTCGCCAAACAACGCAGTCCGCCATTTTTTTTCCCTCCTTTTCCTTAGCTGTGCTACTCCCTTTTATTCTATTGGCTTTTGAAAGCCAATAGAATAGACTCTCTTGAATAGAGTCTAATTCTATTGGCTTTCAAAAGCCAATAGGAATTGTCCAGGCTGTCTCTGCCCTGCTGAGCCTGCCAAAAGTCCCATTCTGCAAACGGTGCTGCACCAGTTGAGTAGTCCTTGACTTACGACCGGTTGAGTAGTCCTCGACTTACGATCGGTTGGGGGGGGGGTCACGGCATTAAAAAGGTTGAGAACCACTGCTATAAATTGACTTAGTATAATACATTAATTTCTGTTTTTTCTCACTAAGCACTTATAGGTACATATGACAATCCTGTCTGGGAGAAACTGAAATTATGATACTTCTGAATTTGCATGCACTGGATTATATTGTCAATTGTTATTGTGCAGCTTTGGTGAAAAACATTTTTCTTCCTCTTTTATGGCTCATTCTGCTTTTATTTGGCTTATATTAGCAGTTAAATTGTACTAAGATTTCAATGCTAGTATAAGGAAGAAATGGCACATGCTGTGGGGTACCATCAGTTAGGAACCTATGGAGGGGCCTGCCTTCTCTGCCATAGTCCCCTCATGAAACATTCTTTCTCCCAAACATTAGATTAGCTCCATCCCTTATGATACTCTGGAACTCCCTCAAGACCTGGTTATGTAATCAGTCCTGGGGCTCCCAGGGAACCAGAGAATGCTTTTATGGCTTCTTTGCTCAGGCGCCATCTTTCTCCTTTCTCTGCCTAGGGCCTGTATACTTGTTTTTATAATATTTATCTTTTAATGTAGAGTTTTATATCTTTATATCTGTTGTTTTTATGTTTGTTGTTTTATTTGATTGCTGTATGCCGCCCAAAGTTGCTTTTTGTCAGTTGGGTGGTCATACAAAATAAATGAACAGATAAATATAATACAAACAACACAATTTAGACTTTTCACACTAATCAAACACGATTTTACTATTGGGATAATGCCTATAGTTTAGAAATAAAGGTGCCATTTGGCTTTCCATTTCTCTTTTTATAATTGGAGTTGATGTAGATAGGAAAGTTGATGAACTGGTTGTGTGAACAACAACTATTCAGGTTGCTGAGCTATATCCAGGCAAAGTTTTAAGTAGTGCCCAAGACATACAAAGGCCTAAGCCAGGGGTAGGCAATTTTGGCTCTTTTATGACTCGTGGACTTCAATGCCCACTAAGCAGTTCAAAATCACTTACTCCTTCATCTCTCTCTTTCTGGAAGATTCTGAAACCATCCCTTTAACCTCACTCTTTTAGTCAGAATCTCTTACTAAGAATGGCTTGTCCTGATTTATAGAGAAGCAAGAAATGATTTTTCTGTGCATGGTCAGCTCCCTTGTTTTAATGACTGCTGAGGGCTACTGGGGTTCCTTTCTGGGTCATCAGGATGCTCAAATTAAAGAGGATCCTTTTGTAGTCTCCAAGGCAAACAATGTGCTATCATTTATTTATTTAATGTATACGCCGCCCATCTCCCTCTTACCATCACACATAAGTGTGGTCATAGGTATCTTCATCAACTCTGATATCATAGGTATCTTCATCTAACCCTTTTTGGTTAGATTCTTTTAATGATACAGGAATACATGGGAAGCTGGTATGCCACAAATAAAGCACCACGTAGGACAGGAGTGTCAAACTTGCAACATCACGTAACATGACTTTTTTTCCATTGCCAACAATGGGGTGGGTGCGGTTTTGGCATGATGCATCTGGCCTGTGGGCCGGCAGTTTGACACTCCGGAAGTAGGAGAAGGAATGGCAGAACTTGAGGATGGAGTGAAAAGATCAGCCTAGAATCCCTATGTAGCCACAAACGAACTTCCAAACCGTTTTTTAGTGCTGTTGACCTTTATCTAACTCTAACCAGGTGCTGACTGTTAGTTGAGAAGGCTTTTAGTTATAGGCTTTTACCAATAAATCAGCTTAATTGAACCTTCATGTGTGAACCTTGTTTTTCATTTCTGACAAACCAGTTTCTAGCATCTTCTTCATTTACAGGAAAATATCTCAGCCCCAGAAGATAACAATGTATCCAGTGGTTTCTTTGGAAGCATTGCCACGGATGCAAAAAAGAGAACAATTTAAAGTGGTAGAGGGCATTCTTGGGGTTAACACAAGGAGAAGAATAGTAATCTTGCCAATTTGCCCACCAGGAAATGTTTTATAGCTGGCCACTTCCACTACTGCACACATATTGTAAATAGGCAAGCTCCCCCTCCCAATGCGCTCAAAAAAAAGGCAATCCAAATTCCAGTTATGCTGGGAGTATTGTCTACATCAGGCAGCAGCTGGTTTGGATACCTCATTCCCCTTTCCAGCATCTTGCTGCTGCAGCTAATAATCCTACCGATCTGCCCCCATGTTCCCAGCATATTCCTGCTGGCCTGTTCACCCTCTTCTTAGTACTTTCTCACCATCCTGCCTTTCATTCTCAGTGTCTTTTTGCTGGCCCATCCCATTCCCATCTCTCAATCCTCTTCCCACTAATGCTATCATAACAGAGGACCCCAAAGCCTCTTAGCAAAACAATCTACTGATAGTTTACTTAAAGGTCTCTTACCTGATTGGCTGAGAGAAGAACCGGTCCCAAGGACAAGCTGGGATGGTAGGGAATCGTGGCACCTTTTGGGGGTGACTGAAGGAAATCAGAAGGAAGTATCAGTGCAAAATTCTATATTTGTGTACCCCAAGCTGCATTCTAATGCCAACAGGCACTGCCTTCTGTCACACAATAGGCATTCTGGCATTACACCAAGAGGGGATATTTTTAGCTCCCTCCCATTTGGTTTATGCTGAGTAATTTCAGATATGGGCGGGATATGAAAAGTAAAAGATCACCTTTGATCATGTTTAGTCTCTTGCCCCTATTAACGGAAGAGAATACTAGAGAGTAAGAACAGATACTACTTATGCTATATCCTTTGTGAAGGAAACCTATCTTTGACACGGCTGCCCAGCAAATTGCAGATTTTGATGAATCAAAAGTATCCCAAGATTTCTGCTATGGGAATCATCTTCCCTCTGCAATTAAGGCATGAGAAGTCTTCCAGGCAAAGGAGCACAACTCAGAAAGGTCAGATGGTGCCGAGAAAGATTCCTGCCTAAAATCCTAAAGCACAGTTATCTAGAGGAGAGTGCTTGATACTTAACCCATTTAAATGTCTGACTCAACAGTTACGTAAATGTCTTTTTTGCTTGCTTGCTTGCTTTCCTAAGAAATAGGTCTGGCTGCTGCAAATAGGAATTAACAGTAATGTGCTAGAGGTATACTTAAATCTTTCTTTATAGACCATCTAATCATTCAAAACTTTACCCCAATGGAAAGGGATAAAGTTACATCCATCTTTTCTCCTTAGAATAGAAAAGCAGCTAGACAGCAGATTATTAACAGTAAAAAATGTCTGCAAATAACAAGTGCATGTGCATAAGTGGATGTCCTTCCTTCCTTCCTTCCTTCCTTCCTTCCTTCCTTCCTTCCTTCCTTCCTTCCTTCCTTCCTTCCTTCCTTCCTTCCTCCCTCCCTCCCTCCCTCCCTCCCTCCCTCTCTATATTTATATAGCTGCTCATCTAACAACCAACTCTCAGCAGCTCCCAATATACATGTACTGCTGCCGCCGTTGTTAGTTTAAAATTATGTCTGCAATAGGGCTGAGGTTTTTTTGGTATCCACACAGTGGACAAACAGGGGGGGAAAAATCATAATGGCATCCCAAGTGGATTCAAGTTTTGAAGTACCCAAGGAGCACGTCTGAACTCAAAGCCTTAAAGTACCACTTCTCCACTTGGATACGAAGGAGCAGACTCAAAGCCTTAAAGTACCACTTCTCCACTTGGATACGAAGGAGCAGACATTGTAGAGAACCAGCAGTGGTTCTCAACCTGTGGGTCAGGACCCCATTTGGGGTCAAACGACCATTTCACAGGGGTCGCCAAACAACGCAGTCCGCCATTTTTTTCCCCTTTTTCTTAGCTGTGCTACTCCCTTTTATTCTACTGGCTTTTGAAAGCCAATAGAATAGACTCTCTTGAATAGAGTCTAATTCTATTGGCTTTCAAAAGCCAATAGGAATTGTCCAGGCTGTCTCTGCCCTGCTGAGCCCGCCAAAAGTCCCATTCTGCAAACGGTGCTGCACCAATTGAGTAGTCCTCGACTTACGACCGGTTGAGTAGTCCTCAACTTATGACAGGTTGGGGGTCGCGGCATTAAAAAGATTGAGAACCACTGTTGTAGAGATACATGAGAGTAAACAAAAGCTGTACCTCCAGTATAACTGCACAGATCTGTCGCACGCACTGGATGATAGCATCTGGTACTCCAGAGACAGTGACAGCCCTTTCAGTGGAATTGGGCAGGAGGTCTCCAGCCACCTGGACTTGAGCACCTGTTGTCTGGAATGAACAAATGCTCTGTTTTTCTGAGCAGCCTCCACTTACATGGAGCTGGGTCAGGAACACTTTGTAATCCCGTGAGATTATTACAGCATTCTTGAAGGAGCTAATTTATTCGGAGATCTAAATGTTTCCTGTGATACCTCTTCCCCTACATAGATATGACTCCTCATACAAACAAAATATTTCATTTGACTTTCACAAAGAAGTGCAAATGAAAAAAAGTTGTAAATTTAGTTTCAATTTTTATTTAACAAGAAAGAAGTGTGCAAGAAATAGCAGTTTCTGAGATTTAAGCCATTCGCTCTGGGAGCATAAGATCAATAGCAATGAAACTAGAAAGGAACAAAAGTTAAGGCACAAAAAATAAAAAAGTAAGAAAGTAGCAGTAATGCTCAAGTGAATAAGATAGGACAATTGAAGGCTCTACCTCTCGGATTTCCTTTATTTTGGCTCCAGCTTTGCCAATGAGTGAGCCACACTGGCTAGCTGGGATGACTAGCCTCAGTGTTACGGGTGGTTTGGAGATGGTGCCTCCATTGGTTGCTCCATTTCCCAAGTCCTGAAATAAAAGAATTTGTATTCAATTCAAGTGCAAAGGGATCCTTTCAAAACCACATTTAATTATTAGTATGCAGCATTTTGTGTTAGAACCTCCATTATAAGTAAAAAAAAAATCATCCTAAAAATCTAGTTCTTTTCCTCTAAGAACCACTATTTTATGATATCCAGGGGTTTGGTTTTTTTTGTACATGCTGTCATCCTAATAATATTCTGTTTTGATTTTTTTTTAAATCACAGATGTAATTTGGTGAGATATAAATACAGTGACATCACCACCACTGGCTTTAATATGATCGTTTTGAATTCCTAGGAAAACTTAAACTATATACCAAGAGAAGTACATTACCAGAAATGGCTGTTTAAGCTTTAACAAGATTCAGTATGTGACAGAAAATTATCAAGAACTTTCCTGTTTCAAACACCACAAAATCAATTTTCTCAAAAATAAATTGCATCACTGTCTTCTTTCTTTTGGCAGGAACTGTATGAAATCTCACAATTTTGATCATAGACGCAATAGCCATTGTAAGCTCTAAATAACTAGACATCATTTATAAAGCTTCTACCTTTAATGGAAAACTGATAGATTTTTTTTTAGTGCTACAATACACTTAATGTGAACTAATAAGACATGCTTTGGGAGCAACATGCAACAGACAGAGACTGGGGCTACTTCACCTCCTCCAGCTTGAAGGCAATCATGGAAACAGCTCTGAAAACAGCATCAGTAGAACCTGTAATGGTGGTGATCCGCTCAGGGCAGGATCCTTCTGAAATGGTAATCCGGGCAGTACTCTAAAGACACAGCAAACCAGAAATAACCGTGTAAATACGTTTTAAGTTTTCTAATTTTATAGAAGGGTTTAACCAAATGCACAAAATGTTTCATAATGGCTGGCCGCTATCTGCATATTGCAGATGTGGCTAAGAAACAAATGAGATAGCCCCTGTCTGTTTGGGGAGACTAGTCTGAATTTAAATTAGAAGCAAGGACTTCATGCCTCACATCTCTTTTTCTCATCCCTGCATTTGTCTGAGAGGTATCTGCTAAAAAAGCAGTTTGGTATAGTAGTTAAGACATCAGGCTAGAAACCATGAGACTGAATTCTCGTCTTGCCTTGGGCACAAAGTGACCTTGGGCCATTTGCTTTCTCTCAGACCTGGGAAGGAGGCAATTGCAAACCACTTCTGAAAAAACTTGCTGGGAAAACTGCGGAGACTTGTCCAGGAAGTCCCTAAAAATTGGATACAACTGAACAGAATAAAAATAAATCTGTTACATGAGAATCAAATCCTCTCATTTCCAGAGAGGATAAATTCAAAAGTTAATGGTCTTCATACCTGTAGTGTCCTCTTATTATTATTGCATCATAGAATGTAGTAATATATTTAAACAGATAATAAATTCTGTTTCATTTCTATTTTCCAGTCACTTTTATCATGACATCTTTTGCACTGTGAGTTTAAACTAGATTAATACTGAAATAAACCTGGCAAATCCAACAGCAGCAGTTAACTACCAATAAAGACAGGATGCAAAGCTTCAAAAAAAAAAAATGGCACAGCAATTCTGAAAGGAAAGAGCACCATCATTGGGCAGGTTCATGAAGTATAGTATTAAAGCATCTCTGAGGATAGAAATACTGATGTCATCAGTAATGTTTAAGTTTATTCGATGACACTGAGGAGCTAGAGGGAAGTGTATTCATTATTTCAGAATCTACTTTAAAATAATTATGAATTATATTCAGAAAAATAGTGACCACAATATTTGTGTAGGTTGATCCCGCTTTCTGTCTCTCCATATTTTCTAGCACATTCTTCTTGATCCTCATCCTACTTTCTCCCAATAGATTTTTCACATTTGTTAGGAATTCATACAGCTAGAACTATAGAATACATAGCTGCTTCTCATCCTCAGCAACTTTTAAGATATGTGGACTTCAACTCCCAGATGGGCTGGCTGGGGAATTCTGGGAGTTGAAGTCCATACATTTTAAAGTTGCTGAGGTTGAGAAACATTGGAATAGTATATTACCTGTATTCGGGCTATTTTCCCCATGATACCTACCTGTTCTCGTATCTTCTTCACAGTCTCTCCTTTCTGTAGGATTAAGGACAATAAAGGCAATTAGTCTTAGAATGTGGAGCAAAAGGATTTTGGAAGCACACAGAATGACCTCCATTGATCTTACCTTGCCTATGATACTGCCAACTTCCTGCAGAGACAAGAGAAATGGGGTTAGAAGAGATATCCAAACCTGTAAGAGTCTATCAATGCCTGAAGATATATCCTTTTAAAAATGAGGAAGCAATCGCACACCTTCTCAAAAAAGAAAGTAAAGGTCATTCATGATTTGACAGATTAAATGAAAGGGTTATTCTCCCTGTCATGATCATTCTTTTTCTTTGTCTTCATTATTAACTCTTTAAAAAAAAACCTTAATGTTGAATTTGTATTAATCTGACCACCTTGGCAATTTAACCCACTATTTTGCTCTGCACCTCAAGTGCCTCTGCAGAGTATTGAAAAACATATGATAGGTTGGAGAGAATATTTTAAACTCCTGTACTGTAGCACGCTAGGCTTCAGTATTGGGATTTGCAAAATAACACTTCCCTGCAGCTCAAATGAACATTCTGCCCCATGCAAGATTTGTTACTGACTATGCAGAGACCACGGCTAAAGCCTAATATGGCAGTCCCAATGTACTTACCTTTCCATGCATAAGCATCCGGAGAGTGAGTGTAATGCTGAGTTCTGTTTCATCCAGTCCGTTATCTGAGCCACTCATCCTATCTGGTGATGCCACAGTGTAGGAATGCATGGATTTGCTTCTAAGGAAAATCAACACCCTGGTCCTAGAAGGTGTTGAAGTCGGCAAATCTGCAGACGCACAGAGAAAAATAAAAAAAGTCTCATAGGGTACCTTGCTTGTAAAGCAGCCCCATTAAGTTGGAGGGGTAAGGGTGATTAGTATTTTATTTATTTATAAAATTTATTGGCCACCCATCTTACCAGAGGGTAACTCTGGGCGGCTTACAATTACATCTTAGTTAAAACATAAAGTTAAAATCAGACATTAAAACCAAGGACACGTGGGGAGGGCAGGGGCGGAGTGGAGGGGGAAATGGGATCTGTTATTACTCACTCAACCACCTCCACTGCGCTGATCCCCCACTGGGGCCCTAAGCTGACTGGCACAGCCACATCTTTGGGCCCTTAGGAAAGGAGGGTTGAGACCAACCTCACATGGGGGGGGATATGTTCCAGAAGGCAGGAGCAACAGCAGAGAAAGCCCTCCTCCTAAACCCCGCCAGCCAGAATACTTCGGCTGACAGGACCCACAGCATACTTCCTCTGCCGGCATGAGTGATACAAGCCAATCCGAGTGTGGTGAGGTGGTCCTTCAAGTAACCTGGACCCATACCATGAAGGGCTTTACAGGTGATCACTAAAACCTTGAATCGCATCCAGAAGCAGACTGGTAACCAGTGCAACTTACGGAGCAGTGGTGTTATAGGGACCATTTTCAGGCCCTCCAAAATTACCCATGCTACCATACACCAGCTGTAGCTTCCAAATGCTCTTCAAGGGTAGCCCCATGAAGAGTGCATTACAATAGTCCAGCCGTGAGATGACTAGGGACTGAACGACTGAGCGCAGAGAATCCTGGTCCAGGAAAGGCCACAACTGGTGCACAACACGAAATTGTGCAAAGGCTCTCCAAGCCGTGACTATCACCTGTTCTTTGAACAGGAGTCACAAGTCCAGGAGAACCCCCAAGTTGTGCACCGAGTCTTTCTGGGGCAGTGCCACCCCATCCAGAGGTCAAAAATGACAAAGTCCTAGATTCCAGAGCCCTGCAAACCCAAAGCCATTCAGTCTTACCAGGGTTCAGTCGAAGGTTAGTAAGAAGGGGTTGGCTTTTATGCAACATCCCTTGATACTCCTGTCTCAGAGCACCTGGAGAATAATGATAACGGTGATGAAGGGAAACATCACATAAACAAACATGACTTATTTAGCCATTAGGCAGGATAAAATTAATGGAAACACATATCTGTATCTGATCTGTGAAATATTATAATCCATGTACATTAAAAAATACAGAGTGGTGAAGCCAACTGCAGGGTGAACAGTCATGGAGGCCGTATTTATTTAAGTAGATACACATGGTATTGTATTGATCCACCAACACATATTTACCTACCTACCAGGTATATAGGTAGCAGTCACAATATGGTTGTTCGGTTTTGATCTAATATGATATGTGAATACAGATATAATTTGTAAAGCACGCTTTTATGACTTGGATGAACCAGGTCACTTCAGTTTGTTCTACAAACTATGCCTAGAATAGCTATTTATACAAGTAGGACAAGTTTTTACTCCAAATGTATCTTGAAGAGGAACAGTCTATAGAATTGTTTGTATCTGCAGGTAGATGGAGGAAGGTTGATTATTAAGAGTCTCGTTCTTGCGTGCAGCTTAACCATTCCTTACTATCCTCCTTGCTCCAGAAGTAATTCTGATCTATCTATGCCTCCCTGATGAGAAAGGAATGGTAATTTTCCGTAGCTGAAAGCAAGCATTATGAAGTTATATTGAGGACAATAGATCCAAAGATACATTTCCTCCTTGCTTGAGATCCTTCTTTTCCCAGCTATCATCCACGTATAAAAACCAAAGCAGAAGAAATTGATGATTCTGGTTAGCAATGGGAGCACCCCCCCCAAAAAAGATTTCCAATGTATGATTGTGTGTTTCCTATATGCACACATCTCTACTTAGATAAGATGTCATCTGACTCCAGGTATCTATCATAACTCAATGACAAAAATCAAGTGACCTGTTTATAGATATATCAGCTTTACACTGAGGTCCTCCAGATGTATTGCAGTTCAACTTCCATAATCCCTCTGCTGATCATGCTATCTGGGGAATTATAAGAGGCTCCAGGTTGGGGAAAGACTAATATAAATGCATAGATGATAGATATACAGAAAGGAACAACTACTGTATATGCACATAGTTTCAGCTTTACCAAAATGGCCTGAAAAAAAAAAAGAGTTTATATATTGCAAAGATTCCTGGTGGTTGTCTTAGCCCATCTTTGTCCTAATACTTTTATATATCCCATTGGAGTTATGTACAGAACATGGCTAACTCTTCTACCATCTCACAGATGGATCTCACAACAATCTTATTTATAAAGCACAGCCCTTAAATGCAAGGCAATGCTGAATATTTATTCTTTTTTCAAAATTCTCTCTCTCTCCCCCCCCCCTTGAATTCAATTTATAGATAAACTGAATACAAGTAAATGCTGGGGAGAGGCCCTTAAGAGAGAGAAAAACATTTGCAGAGATTGATGCAGGTTTTGGCATGGAATCAAGAAATGGTAGCTTTTTTTCTTCACTATTTCTTTACAGCTTAATGGAAGTCATTGGAAGAGCTGCTAAGTGGTCGTCTTTCATATATTTGATTGCTTGCTAATGCTTAGTGATTTTTTCTTCCAATGGCCCCAGCCAAGCATGCCTACCAAAAAGGGTGGGGCATCGGCCAATGTTGTGCTGTAGGAGATGAGAAAACCGCCTGTCAACTGCAATATGGCTAGCAAGAGGGAGAAAGATCTGAACTGCTACAGAACAGCCCCTTAAGAGGCTCAGTCTTCATGTAGTAGTGCTTGCTGTTAGGAAAACTGATGCTATTTCAGAGATTGATGCCGTCGGTCTGTCTGGGTGCCTGTCTCTTCCATCTGATCAATATATAAATAGGAAAATATTACCAATTTACTCAAAGCAGTGATGGTCTTGGCAGTCATCCTGAATTTGGGGTGTATGTGTGTAGTGTGCACAAAGTATTGTTCAAAAGCTTTTTTGGGGGTCTGGTTTGGTGGCAGCAGTGCCTCAGATAGAAAGTCCATACAGAGAATGGTAAGGACAGCCGAGAAGATCATAGGAAGCTCACTCCCTGGTATTCAGGATGCTGCTTATAAGCGTTATGTGCTTAGAGCTCAAAGCATTATTAGAGACCCCACACACCCACTTTATGGTCTACTTCTGTTGCTCCCCTCTGGGAGGAGGTTTCAAAATATTTCTAGCAGGACTACCTGATTCTGTAATAGCTTGTTCCCTATGCCATCCGTCTGGTAAACTCGCAAGATTTGTTTTTCTCGCCATGCACATGTATACATAACCTGAACTAGACTGTTGTTTCTCTGTGTCATATATGTGGATATATGCATAATTCTGTATTTATTTATTTATTTCATATTTATATAGTGTATATCAAAGGTAATGATCCTTTCAGAGCTGTATGCAAGGAAATTTCATTTTAATGTATGCCGATTAGTATACATTCAAAATGACAATAAAGTTATTATTCTATTCCTTTTGGAAACATCCTATAATATCAGGGCAGAGAGTGAGGTAAAATAGAGAGAATGAAAGAGGGAGGGAAGAAGGGAGGGAGAGAGAGAGAGAGAGAAGAGAGGGGGGGGGAAGATCTAGCATTTCTCCAATCTGTGTGCTCAACCACAACAAAGCAACCAAGGGCTTAAAAATAGGACTGGGTATATGATAAAGGGCTATTTTGAAACTCCTGGCCTCAGAGACAATCTGGTTTGACATTACAGGGTTCTCTATATGACAATATACAGACAAAATCCTCTCCAAGAAATTGTTTCAGGACAGTCAGAATAAATCCTTTTGGGATTGGTCCTGTGAATGCTGATCTCCAGAAATACAGTATGAATGTCATGATAAATAACAGTAAATGTTAGTAGATTTAACCACATTACTGGACTATCTCTCAAGTACTGTAATAAGTGCTGAGCTAGCTCCAGGTGGCCTCGGATTAGAAGAAATAGCCATGCTGGCTTAGGTCAAACCAATAGAGCTGATAATGAGATGCCCTTGGGAAGTTTGTAAGTGAAACCACCATAATGCCCTTCTCTTTCCTTATTGCATCAACTGCTACGCTGGGGCCATCATGTAAAACTATTAAGACTAGTAACAGTTGGTTCTTAACTTTTATGAATCTGCCTCTTAATCCTTTTAGAAGTGGATGATGCAGGATGTTATGTTTAGAGGAGTGGATTATATTTATTGATAAGTATTGTATTAAGACATTAAAATTGACATGTTCACAGCTACAATTTCTCACCATTGTTTGATGGTATTTTAATATTGTATTTTTCAATATAGGCTGGCAATAATTCTGATTTCAGAGCTCCCTGAGTATCTCCGGGGACCTCTAGGGGTTCTAGGATCAAATTTAGGAAACACTGTGCTAGAAATAGCAAAATCCATGAGGAAGCATTGCTTTAATCTGCTCTGAATTTCCTATCAATTGAATGGCCCATATCAAGTTCAATGAGAGGAGGAAAAAAAAAACCCTTTCTATTCACTTTCTGAATGGAGTGCATTTTATATGCCTCTCTCATACCTCCTCCCCATCGTATCTTTTCTAAACCACTGATGGATCTTGATGCCTGCTAATTTTGTAGCCCAGACCTCCAACTGTCCTGTGATTTAGAATAAGTACGGTAGAATAAATCTGCTTATTTGTTTATTTCTGGGTTCAAAAAACATCTTGTAGGGCTTCCTATACTCATAAGATAGTATACAGAAAATTCCCCAAGTCATAATAATGTGAAAGTTCCTTAAATTAAAACCACATAACATCATCTTAAAAGTGAGTTGTTACAATCAGTCAGGCACTGAAATTACTTGGAAGTTGCTCTGAGTACAATGCAGAGAATCAGCCTGCGAAGTAAATTAATTGTTTGAATTCAAATGTACTGAGCTATCATCTTGTTTTAAAGCAGAGCTTTTATTTTTAAAGACATCTCCCTTTCCTTAGAAGTACTTCCTGCCAAG